CAGTGGGACATTGAATGAGTTGTCTGCCACTATAAATGATTAACTTAATTTTCCATTGATTTTTTATTTCGATTTTTAAAACAAATTATTATTTATTTAATTTTTTATTTCCAAATCCTTTCCCACCATACCAATTTGAAATTTAAAATTAAAATCCAAAATTTGAAATCAATTCATAATTCAAATTTCAAAAGAGTGAGCAATTTCAATGTAGAAAACATTTAAAAGAGCTGAGTAATTTCAATGTACAAATCAGTGGGACATTGAATGAGTTGTCTGCCACCATAAATGATTAACTTAATTTTTCATTGATTTTTTATTTCGATTTTGAATTTATTATTTATTTAATTTTTTATTTCCAAATCCTTTCCCACAATTACAATTTGAAATTTAAAATTGAAATCCAAAATTTGAAATCAATTCAGAATTCGAATTTCAAAAGAGTGAGCAATTCCAATGTAGAAACCACTTAAAAGAGCTGAGTAATTTCAACGTAAAAATCAGTGTGACATTGAATGAGTTGTCTATCACCATAAATGATTAACTTAATTTTTCATTGATTTTTTATTTCGATTTTTAAAAGAAATTATTATTTATTTAATTTTTTATTTCCAAATCCTTTCCCACAATTACAATTTGAAATATAAAATTGAAATCCATAATTTGAAATCAATTCAGAATTCGAATTTCAAAAGAGTGAACAATTTCAATGTAGAAAGTATTTAAAAGAGCTGAGTAATTCCAATGTACAAATCAGTGGGACATTGAATGAGTTGTCTGCCATCATAAATGATTAACTTAATTTTTCGGTTATTTTTTATTTCGATTTTTAAAAGAAATTATTATATAATTAATTTTTATTTTCAAATCCTTTCCCACAATTACAATTTAAAATTGAAATCCAAAATTTAAAATCAATTCAGAATTCGAATTTTAAAAAAGTGAACAATTCCAATGTAGAAAGCATTTAAAAGAGCTGAGTAATTACATTGTACAAATCAGTGGGACATTGAATGAGTGTTCCGCCATCATAAATGATTAACTTAATTTTTCATTGATTTTTTATTTCGATTTTTAAAAGAAATTATTATTTATTTAATTTTTTATTTCTAAATCATTTCCCACCATTACAATTTGAAATATAAAATTAAAATCCATAATGTGAAATCAATATTGTGAAATCAATTCAGAATTCGAATTTCAAAAGAGTGAACAATTCCAATGTAGAAAGCATTTAAAAGAGTTGAGTAATTCCAATGTACAAATAAGTGGGACATTGAATGAGTTGTCTGCCACCATAAATGATTAACTTAATTTTCCATTGATTTTTTATTTCGATTTTTAAAAGAAATTATTATTTATTTAATTTTTTATTTCCAAATCCTTTCCCACAATTACAATTTGAAATTTAAAATTGAAATCCAAAATGTGAAATTAATTCAGAATTCGAATTTCAAAAGAGTAAGCAATTCCAATGTAGAAAGCATTTAAAAGAGCTGAGTAATTTCAACGTACAAATCAGTGTGACATTGAATGAGTTGTCTATCACCATAAATGATTAACTTAATTTTTCATTGATTTTTTTTTCGATTTTTAAAAGAAATTATTATTTATTTAATTTTTTATTTCCAAATCCTTTCCCACAATTACAATTTGAAATATAAAATTGAAATCCATAATTTGAAATCAATTCAGAATTCGAATTTCAAAAGAGTGAACAATTTCAATGTAGAAAGTATTTAAAAGAGCTGAGTAATTCCAATGTACAAATCAGTGGTACATTGAATGAGTTGTCTGCCATCATAAATGATTAACTTAATTTTTCGTTGATTTTTTATTTCGATTTTTAAAAGAAATTATTATATAATTAATTTTTATTTTCAAATCCTTTCCCACAATTACAATTTAAAATTGAAATCCAAAATTTAAAATCAATTCAGAATTCGAATTTTAAAAAAGTGAACAAAACCAATGTAGAAAGTATTTAAAAGAGCTGAGTAATTACATTGTACAAATCAGTGGGACATTGAATGAGTTGTCTGCCATCATAAATGATTAACTTAATTTTCCATTGATTTTTTATTTCGATTTTTAAAAGAAATTATTATTTATTTAATTTTTTATTTCTAAATCATTTCCCACCATTACAATTTGAAATATAAAATTAAAATCCATAATGTGAAATCAATATTGTGAAATCAATTCAGAATTCGAATTTCAAAAGAGTGAACAATTCCAATGTAGAAAGCATTTAAAAGAGTTGAGTAATTCCAATGTACAAATAAGTGAGACATTGAATGAGTTGTCTGCCACCATAAATGATTATCTTAATTTTCCATTGATTTTTTATTTCGATTTTTAAAAGAAATTATTATTTAATTTTTTGTTTCCAAACCCTTTCTCAATAGCATCACCGGTACTTTAACCTTCAAAGTTAATTTATGATCAGGAATCCCCGAACATGAGAATGTATTTAAGATATCATGGGAGATTTCGTCATCCTCAAGAGATGAATTACCGTCTTGTTTCAAAACCTTATCTGAACTCAATAATGTCCTTTCTTCACCCGGAATCACAGCCATTAGGTGCAAAATAGAGATCGTGGATGCATGTCCGTGAAAAAAGTTTTCTTTTTATTGAATTTAAAATTTTGAAATTCAGATTGTGCAAAATAAATACATAATTTCGAAATTTAATTGATAATCATTTCAAATTTCGAATTTCAAATGAGATGACCAATTCCAACATAAAAAGCAATTAAAACAGCTGATTTATTTTGGATACCAATGTGATGGGCAGTGGGACATTCAATGCCTTGTCTGCAACTATTATTCGATTTAAAAATTAAAATTCAATTTTTAAAAGAGTTTTTTTTCCAATTTACCCAATAAAGAAAGTTTGTATATAACCAAATTGTAGAATTAACCAGGGAGTGACACTTGGCAAAACTTTCCAGCAGTGAACTCTCCTTTATATATATATATATATATATATATATATAGATTATATTAAGATCATATGATTTTAATATGTTATTCACGAATTATTTGTTTATCAGGTGCAAAACATAAATTGGTATTAATTTTGTAGATAGAAATTAAAAAAAAATCAACGGAAAAGCCATTTCGTCAAAAATTGATACAATAGTTTTCAATGGAATTTAATTTATTTTTCGTCAAAAATTATTACAAAATTTTTCGACGAAATTTCATTTATTTTTAGTCGAAATTTTTTGACGGAATTTATTTCCGTAAAAAATTATTACAAGATTTTTTGACAGAATTTCATTCATTTTTTGTCGAAAATTTTCAAAGGAATTGCTAATTCCGTCAAAAAAACTGTTACCAACGAAGAAATATTCGACGACTTCATTTTCGTTGATAATTCTGTCGAAAATTTCATTTTCGACGAAATTTTAACTATTTTTGACGAAATTTTTCCGTCAAAAAAATAGCATTTTTGAATAGTGGTATAAGTATAACTCATTAATTTTTTTCACAATTCATAAATTGAAAATATTATTAAACATAAATATTTTTTTTACTGATAATATAAAATATTAAATTCTTGCCTAAGATCTAAAAAAAATTTTATTTATATTTTTAATAAATAAATACAATATTTGAATGTCAAAATACAAAATAATTATTAATTATAGGAATTAAATTTTTAGAAACTTATTCCAGGCAAAAAAAAAAACAATTGCAATTTTTAAAAAAAAAACACTCATTTAATGTTATTTTGAAATATGTTACTGAAATAATGCAACCAGTTGTGGGTGTAACTAATTGGATTTTGCCACGTTGCACTATCATGATTGGTGACTGTTTGTAGCCCCAATGAACTAGATGCACACTATGCGCATGCGCCACTAATTGGATGGGAAATAAGATTAACGAGGTATATAGTTGCGCACCAAACAGATGCGCAACACAGACTGAGTTGTCACATAATAATTGGGTACTCATAATATGCACAATTTACTATATTAACAGAGTAAAATATTTCAAAATAATATATTAAACAAAGGAAAAAATATTTATACTTTTAAAAATAATTATTCTAGTTAAAATTAATATTTTTATTTAAAATTCAAATGAAAAAATTCATACTTTCTTTTCATGATTTTTATTATGTACCCTTTTATCTTATTTAAAACGACAGTCACAAACCCTTAAACAAATAATTTTTTTAAATTGCAATTTTCAGATTGTTTTGCCACTTATTTTACTAAAACATATTGGAAGACCAACCTCATCATCCCAAGTCAAAATGATATCATATTTTGAATTTGAGATTATTAAGAAAAATAACACCCACCTGAAATAAATTTATGTAAATATACATAAAGAAAAAGAAAAATATATTTACTTTTAATAGAATTTTAATTCTCATTCACTAAAATTTAAAAATAAATACTCATAATCTATTCATCCATGAAAAGGATGAGAAAAATATTTATCGTTTTAAATGATGGGTAAAGGATTTCTTCGGTCAATGTAGATAAAATTATCTCCAGCAAATCCAAAACGATGTCATTTTGGGACGAAAATCAAGATATTTTTGTAACTCTAATATATTACAGGGTTATTAATCTTTATGATTATAATTTTTCAATCTTATGTCTCAAAACGACGTCGATCTAAGCTTACTAGATATAATTTTATCTTCGGTGACTGGAGAAATACTTTTCCCATATATAATTTTGTGTTATTGTTAATGAAATTATATCGTTTTGATATATTTTTGCATTTTTCGGTTATCTGTTTCCTTTTCTTCCTAATTTTATAGAAAATAAAAAATATAAAAAATAACAAAAATAGACCAAAACTACACAATTTTATTAAAAATGATGCGAACAAAAAGGAATTCAGAAACAATTGTTATAAAACATTTTTATTTTTTTTGTGTTACAAAAAAAAAAAAAAACATTTTTATTTTTTGTTGTAAAATGCAAAATGGAATCAGCTCCAATCCAGAATGTCTTCAAACGCTAACCCCTTGGTTCTCTGAAAACCCTAAAAATTTCCCAATTTGTGTGTCATCCATGGAAATGTCATTCTCTTCTTAAACCCCTATTTCCCGATTCACCTCCGTACCTCAAATCCCGCGCTCCCTTGTAATCAGAGAAAATGTCTCTCCCTCCCATAGCGTGTGTATACGTGACAGAAGACTGTGTTCGCGAATGGAAGAGTGGGAATCATGGCATCAAGGTCTCCGAACCTGTCCCAATGCTTCGCTTTCTCTACGAGCTCTGCTGGACTATGGTGCGGTTTTGAACCAATAAAGCATAGTTTTTTTGTTAGGTTTATATAGAAAAATTTAAAATTCGGATGGTGAATCCAAGGCTTTGATTTCTTCATTTTTGGGATGAAGCACCGATTTTTGGTTCTGGTTTGATGTCAGGTTCGGGGTGAATTGCCGCTTCAGAAGTGTAAAGTAGCATTAGATTCTGTCATATTTTCGGAGAAAGCTTCTGCTGAGAAAGTAGCTTCAAATTTTGCAGATATAGTGAGCCAGATGGCTCAAGATGTGAGTTACTGCTGCTTTTCATTGTGAAGTTGTTGTTAATCCTTTTCATTCCCCCCCCCTGCCCCCCTTCCCAGTCCTTCAAATTTGCTCCCTCATATCTTCTTTTTCAGTATATATGAGAAGGAAACTTTCTAGATGGTTGAAATGATTATTATATGGAAATCATTTTTCTTTTCTATGCTGTGAAGAGTGTGCCTCCTTCAGTTATATAATCCTTTCTTTTTCTCCTCATCTTCTCTCATTTGAATTGTCATAGTCAAATTTTGTTACTAGTCAAGGATAGGGTGCTAAATATTTTCTTCCCAATACTTCCCTTTAGTTAATTTCTCTTTTCTGTTTTATATTGCATGAGCATCATGCTCAGAGGAGTTTATTTAGAAATTCGGTTCAATTGCTGAGGGAAGAGGAATTTTTTTTTTTTTTAATCTTTACGACTATGATTATAATCAGTTCAAGTAAGAGATGTTTCAGTGGGACTTTTATCTGAGAATTCTTAATTTGGAAGATAAAAGATTTATTTAACAGTGATCTGATTGCCCTATCAGATGATATCATATGGAACTCTCATTTTAACCTTGATTTATTTATATGAAATTCTAAAAAATCTGAACATACTTCTTTCAATGTAGTAATGAATACTTAATGGGGTGTAATCATGTAAGTGCGCATTGTTGTTTTTGCATATCATTATGAGTGAGATATTGAATTATGTTTCAATTTCACGTGTTTGATAATTGATAACTATATTGTTTTAGTAAGCCAACTAAATCTACTTACGTTCTTAATCTCCTTGGTTACAGCATACAATGTCAGGAGAGTTTCGTTCTCGTCTCATCAAATTGGTCAGTATTTGATCTTGTATGCTTTGTGTGATACAAGTCTTAATGTTAAATCTTATCTTTTCTGAGCAACCATCTTGGTGCTCATTCCTTAGAATTTTTCTACAATTTATTATTGCTTATAAAGTTTTCATTTTTCTAGGCAAGATGGCTTGTTGAATTTGATTTGGTTCCAGTTAGGCTACTTCACGAACGTTGTGAGGTCTGTTTGTTTTTTTGTGGTTCCCATGCTCATTCATACTTCATATATCTCTTAATTTTTGTATTTCATTTTATGGCTTCTGGGTAGTTTGTTGAGGAAGTTTACCAAGTGATAATCTTTAATTCATTAGTAATTTCTTGTGTTTACAAAATTTTATTTATATGTTGTGCATTTGTAGGAAGAATTTTTGGGGGATGCTGAGTTGATCAAAATAAAGGCTCAGGAGTTGAAGGGAAAAGAGGTGAGCAGTTAACTTCTATAAATGCATGGCATAATACATGGGGCTTCTGCTTCTTTTTTCCCCATTGATTATTCCTATTTACTATGTTTTCTTTGTATTCTAAAATACTCATCGATTTTGTTTTAAAAGGAAAAAAACTGAGATTTTGTTCCAAAGGAAAAGGTATGGGTTGCTAACCCCCACTAAAAGGGAAGGAGGTTAAAAGTCCCTATATGTGTGTCTGTGTGTGTATAAACAGAATTAGTTATAATTAATAAGACAAAGAAAGTACAAGTACAGAGGGGGGATGGAGATAAGGTATCCTCTAAAACACATTACCACAAAAGGAAGATAGTAGAAAAACAACAGAAAAGCTAAGAATGCAGTAAGGCTGCCCTATCTCCCTGCATATCAACGACAGCTCCACACTTTACACCCTTGAACAATCATGGGCAGTATGACAGGAGAGGCTAAAAATGTAATCTTATGCAAAAGTAGACTTAACAGAAAGGAAGCACCCTTAAAGATGCATTTCGCCTTTTTCTTTTTACTAAAGCAAATATAAGTATAACAAACCAACAGGAACTGCTCCAAGGTAGAAGGACACACCCCTCGTTAAGAACCTCAAAAGATTGTTCCAATGGAAAGTAGCTGCCAATTGCCATGCATTGCTGAAATTAGTGAGACGTAGACTTGAAAATTAAACAAGTATTGAGAGAGAGCTATGTGAAGCTTATGATCTGTAGTCATGCAACAAATCTTTCCAAATTATCTGCATACCTATAATAGAAATGCTTTTGAAACAGCCTTGAGTAGAACGCCAAAGAAAAGCCATAAACAAAACCTTATGTCATTGTATATGTTAGTGCAAATGCAGACCCTTGAGATTTGGGGCCGACAACCAAATACACGTATGAATTGCATATACTGCACAGTACCATAAAATCCTCACCACCACCTTATTCACCAAAAAATGAGCATTTTTTTATCTTTAGCTATATTCTTACTTAGTCCTTGTGTTGCCTATGTCAAATATACAATAGCTATGTATAAGCATGATCTGGAAATTCAATTGTTGAATGTATTTGATTCACCCATGCTGTTGATTTCAGGTCAGAGTTAATACACGACTTCTCTATCAGCAAACCAAATTTAACCTTCTCAGAGAAGAGAGTGAGGGCTATGCAAAGCTGGTATAACACAATTTCCTATCGGTTGACTTTTTAGGATGATTTATATGAATCATTTATCACATATTACAGCCATTGAGATTTTGGCAGAAGAGAATCTCATCTTTTACATTTGTTTTGTTATTGCATTATTTTGTTTTATATGCATTGCATGGATCCTTTATACATGGATTTTAATAATTGCATGGCTATAAAATACTTAAATGTTTGCCTTTGGTTTAGGTTTGTTGGATTTATGGGTGTATGCATTTTGGGTCTTTTATGTTTCGGGCCCATACTTGAACCAATTGGCAAATTATTTCCATTGTCTTTTCTCTATGGGTCTTTGTTAAACTAGATTTTTAATGAGGTAATGTCAGATAATGACAAATCTTGAGAGAAAGGAGATTTATTGTTCGTTGAACTCATGCATGTGATCCAAAAGGTAGTTGGCAGCCAATTCCTCATTTTTGTTACAAGCAAAGTACACCACCAATACAATCATAGTTCATGCTTAGTCGTGAGTGTTGCATCCCTGAATTTTAAGAATTAAAACTAAGAATGGGATTAAGAGTCATGGAAAAAAGGGCTGACGATGTTAATATGGATGCATTTATGATTGTCCCTAGGTCTGTTGACTCTGTTGAGGTTGCACTAAAGCGGAAATAACAAGAGAAAATTCAGGGGTAACTTTATGTGTCTATGAGAACTGACCTAAAAGTAATGCTTGTTTTCTATTTTAGGTGCTTTGTTGTGAAATTCCTTTGTAGTTTTATTTTGACTGTGACATGGTTGATAATTGCAAGCATATTCTTTGAACATTGTGTGGGCTTTTTCAATCCACAATTTGTCTCTTTCTGGTGTTCTTACATATTGCATGATTAGGGAGATGCAACCAGGGAATGTACAAATGTATTCCAGATAAGATGCATTTGTATGCTGCATTCAATTTAGTTTAATTGTGTAGGTCACTCTTCTTTGTCGGAACTCCGAAGCTTCAACTCCAAAAGCATCTGCAGCAACAATTGGCATTATTAAGGTTTTAATGATTTTAAGTAATATGACTATTCCATTACAATATTTTTTGTTTTGTTTTGTGATGATGATCACAGTGCTGATTGAGATTACTTCTGCAGTCGTTAATTGGCCATTTTGATTTGGATCCAAATCGTGTTTTTGATATTGTAAGTTGGATCATTTTAATTTGTTTTTTTTTTGTTTTCTTTAATTCGCATGCCTATCTACTCATTTCATTTTTTATCTGGCTACTGATGAAAGTTTTTGATCAGGTTCTTGAGTGTTTTGAACTCCAGCCCGATGATGACGTGTTCATAGAGCTGATTCCTATTTTTCCCAAGGTGGATAAAAATAGAAGCCTAGGTCGTTCCTATTTGTTTATATTTAATGAACAAGTTTTTATATAATGATTTTGTCTCTTTTATGCAGTCTCATGCATCACAGATTCTTGGATTTAAATTTCAATATTATCAGCGCATGGACGTCAGCAATCCTGTTCCATTTGGGCTCTATAGACTTGCAGCATTGCTGGTGAAGCAATATTTTATTGATCTTGATAGCATGTAAGAGGCTATGCTCGTACTGCTTAAGAATAACATATAGCATTCTTATGTAGCAGTAAACAATAAACAATATTCCAATACGGAGTCAATTTTTGACTCCATTTGATTATAAGAAGTGGTGGTAGCAGTGAAGGAGATTTACAAATTCCATATGTGTGATTGATAAGCTGTCAATATTAATCCTTTTTGTGTGGGTCATGCTATTAACTTTCTTGGAAAAATTGTTGATGTATAGAAGGGATGCACCATATAATCATACCAAAATTTGAGTAGGTTGTAGACTACTCCTCAAACTGCTATTTATTGATGAATATCTTTATTTACATTGGTTGGCACAGATATTTTGGAGCATTAAGTTTTTCAGAGCATTTAAGTTTTCAAGTTTAATTGGTTATTTTCTCTATCCCAGAAGAAAATAAAATATTTGCAGACTTAGCTCTTGTGAATATGTTCGGTGCTATCTTTTGGTATTTAATTTTTCCGTTTTTCACATTTTCATTGTTCACTTCCTCTGTTACTGTTGATACCCCACATCCGTACACCAATTTTTCTAGAACTTAGGGTGATGGTGTTTGAACTTTTAGTCATGGTAAATTAAGCATATTTATTTGGGCTCCAAAATCATGCTTCTTGTTAAATAATTAATTTTGTCTGACAAGTCCTTCTCTTTCACTTATACCAAGTTGATTATCTTGATGGGAATGATTGAAATCAGCAATTCAGTGTAGAACACTTGCGGTAGTTTGTTTTATTGACAAAGTTTTGGGATGTTTTAATTTGGTTCATATGCATGTCCTGCCGAGCTTCTGAGCTAGTGCAAAGGCATCAGGACTGGAGTTACAATATGTAATTTATGAGACATTTTCTAACTATCATTTTGGTTACAGATATGCTCATCTACTTCCCAAGGATGATGAAGCATTTGCGCATTATAACACTTTCTCTTCGAAGCGCCTTGATGAGGTATTCATGCTTTGATAGCTTATTGAACACTTACCTTTGTTATGCTCAACTTATTATTTTTATTTTGGATGAAAAAATTCTTATTAGGAAGAATGAGAGAAAGTAAATCTAGCAATAGAATAAGAAAATCTGCTCTAAAGAAAAATGGAAACGAAACAAGCCAAAATGTCTTAAAATTGCAACAAAGCGGTCTAGTCTCTTTCTATGCTTCATAGTTCAGAACTCAGGTTTATTTGCTTCATATTACCCTTAGATACCGATTGTTGGGCTGGTGTTCAAATGGGTGTATGGCTATAAATTCTGTAAATTTTACAGATGCAGACATTCCTTGTTGATGGCAGCCTTGTGTTGGGTCAGTTAAGGCTGTGGGTTCATTCATGCCTTGCTTCCCTTTGTCTCTCTTTAGTTTCTACCGTCAGTTTTGTTTGACAACACTGACCGCAACTTCTCATGAACTTATTATTTCTTTAGCTGTGAATGTTGCATCAACTCAATCAAACTAATTGGGATGGCTTGTGAGAGATTTAGTTTCACTTGAATCTGTCAACCTTCAGTTCTTATACTTCAATCTGTTTGACCTCTTTGGTGGATATTTGATTCTTGGAGCAAGATAGTGTTTGTACTGATTTTGTATAATATAAGAATATACTTGTGTCTTTCTTTTAGTCCGCTACTCTATTGTTTTCTTATTTAGTTTTGGCTGGTTTTATTTCCGTAAGGTTGACAATCTTATTTTCAGGCTAATAAAATTGGAAGAATAAACCTTGCTGCTACTGGAAAAGATCTAATGGATGATGAGAAACAGGGGGATGTCACTATAGATCTGTTTGCTGCTTTAGACATGGAAACTGATGCAATTGAAGAACGAACATCTGAGCTTCAAAACAGTCAAACTCTGGGCTTGCTTACTGGCTTTCTTTCAGTGGATGACTGGTATGCTTGACTTGTAAATCTACTTACAGCATGTGGTGGTAAAGGCTGTTATTATCACAGGCTGTGCTACTTTTCATCTTTTGGCCAAAAGGTTAAACAGTTCTATTTTTCAGAATCTAGTGTCCAAGCTGGGAATGAAAAATCTCTATTCTCCATTTTGTGGGTAAAAAATAAATGTAAATATGTTGTTGGGGAGATGGACCATTATAATTAGTAATTAATAGAGATAGTGGTGCGCTAGAAATCATAGATGCATTGGAAATAATCATCTAGGAGAATAAATGTTTCTAATATCAAATGCATTTATTCTCTCTTTGTATATAAATAGATGAAGAGTGCTTGGTGAAAATAAACCCAAGCAATTCAGCCAAACATTGCAAGTGTTCTCTCTTCAAAATATTCTATTAACAATAATAATAATGGAAATTGGTTCTGCTGTAAGTGGAGACATTTGTCATTCTTCCATAAATTCACATTTATCGGTACTTGTGTTAATGTTTCTATACATGTTAACTTAATCAGCATCGTGTGTGGTTTTTGAGATATACAATGGATGTTGAACTTTATGGATTTCTGCTGAAGATTTGGTTCCTTTTCAGACCTTAAAAATTGATTTATGGCTCAAGTAGACCCTTCTTTTTGTACAATATATTTGCTATGTTCATAGAGTTGCCCTCTAGTAAATATATATATTTATAGGCTCTTTTGCTTTTGTTTTCACAGGTATCATGCACATATTCTATTTGAACGTCTCTCACCACTCAATGCAGTGGAACATACCCAAATATGTGACAGTTTGCTTAGGTAAAGCTTGTGTATAATCTCTCTCTCCCTCTCTCATGCAGACATTAGCCTTTAGAGCTTATATTTGGGTCCATATGTAGACATGATTGAATGTATATATGATAAATGGGTTTTTTTGGATAATGCATTTGCATATACATGTCAATGTTGATGTCTATTTATTTTTGATAGAGATTGTAATACTATAAGAAAAAAGAAGAGGGAAAGTAAAATTAGAGGGTGGGTAAGATATCCTCCAAAGACAAAAGCTATCTTATCAAGAATGCAATGATGCTGCTATTACCTCTGCATCTTAAAATCTGAAACTTCCTTGTAGCAGCCATAATTATAGCACTCATGGAAGGCCATAATAGCTATCTTATCCCCAAGCAAGGGCTAAGGAGATGCACTTGAAGATGCTACATTGCACAACCTTACTCTTGAGTTTTGTGTGATCAATAATTTTGTTTGCATTTTTTTTCCTTTTAGCAATAGCTTCAAATAATGTTGAGATCTTCATCCAGGCTTATTGAGAAGTCAATTTCTTCGGCATATGATGTTATTCGTCAAGCACATATTCAAAAGTCTGGATCATCCACAGGAGGCAGCACTGATGCTATGGATACAGATAACTCTTCAGGACAAGGTTCTTTTATAGATCTTCCTAAGGAACTTTTTCAGATGCTTACTTGTACAGGACCTTATCTCTACCGTGATACTATATTGTTGCAGAAGGTACATTAGGTTGTTTTAATATTCTGTTAACTTCATTTTCTTTGGTATGTTTTATTGTGATAATGATTTCCCTTTGTCTCCCATTTTCCTTTAAAAACACGAGTAGATTTGCAGGGTGTTGAGAGGTTATTACCTTTCTGCTCTTGAGCTTGTAAATGGTGGCGATGATACCTTGAGTCCTCAATTTCATGTTATTGGAAATCCTCATCTACACCTTAAGGATGCAAGGCTAAGGGTGGAGGATGCTTTAGGAGCATGTCTACTACCTTCTTTGCAGTTGATTCCTGCCAATCCAGCTGTTGGCCAGGAAATTTGGGAACTTATGAATCTCCTTCCTTATGAGGTTCTCCTTTGTATTAGTTGTTGATCCTTTCACTTGGTATATTGTTAGCTTTTATTGACAAGCTTGGTTGATGAATGCTATCTATCTAGGTGCGATATCGTTTATATGGTGAATGGGAAAAAGATGATGAACGCACTCCTATGCTCTTGGTTGCTAGACAAACTGCCAAGGTTTGATCTATATATGTTTGGGACTGCCTGCGTTGAATGTTACAAGCTTGATTCCTTGTTATTCTCATTCTTGTTGCTTTGTTTGTGTGCAGTTGGACACTAGACGTATTTTGAAACGGCTGGCAAAGGAAAATTTGAAGCAGCTGGGTCGGATGGTTGCCAAATTAGCTCATGCCAACCCATTGACTGTCCTTCGAACAATTGTTCATCAGGTGCTGATTTAGTATAGCTTGTATCCTGTGATGAAGAGCCCTGGTAGCTTGTATCATGTTAATTTTTTTAAATTGTGTGAAATGCAGATTGAGGCTTACAGAGACATGATTACTCCTGTAGTGGATGCATTTAAGTATTTGACTCAGGTGTGTATATTTCTTTGTGTTTTGGCTTTGCGTCCATGTTCACTGCATCCATTAGTAATATCATAATGTATGACCTCATAATAAGCACTATGAGATGGATCCTACATTGTTTGAGTTTGGGCTAATTATCTTTCATTAGTGAGCATATAAAGTATTTTAGTGCCTGATGAATTAAATCTTTGAAATAAATGATTATGATCCAATTAATTGTATAGGGTAAGTGAATGAGAACTTGACCTTTCTTAGGCATTGTTTCACTGGCTTGGCTTCATCCACTAATAGTTGAGTAGTTGGATCTCTTTTTATATTTTTCTTACTATTTTTTAAATAGGGCTAGCCTTGGAGCAGCAGTAAGGCTGCTCCTTGTGATCGGAAGGTCACGGGTTTAAGTTTAGGAAATAGCCTTTTTGCAAAACTGCTAGGGTAAGGTTGCGTACAATCGACCTTCTCCCCTACCATCGTAAGTCGGGGAGCCTTGTGCATCGAGAGTTTCCCTTTACTTTTTTAAAATGGTGAAACTGAAATTATTAGGAGTTTCTTAGGTCATGAAACTGTCACTGAGAGCATGGTTAGTTGTAATTTGCTCTTTTCAGACTGATGTCGTAGTCATTCTATAGGATCTCATAGTTCATATAATCATTTTAGTTGGACTGTTGTGCTTCTGCTGTGCCGTGGTCATTTTTTTAAAGAATGAAATAATTGTTATTATAGGTAAGGAGAAATCAGCGTAATGGAATGAGGAAAATAAGAAATCCCTCTTAGCAGAGGCATAAAAGACTAGAGCAGACTGATGTGACTAAAATGTTCAAGCAATTAAGTCTCCAATCCCGGTGTCCTATCCAAGAGAAAATTTTCCATTTTGTGGAAATCATATTTTATTTTAGTGACCCTTTTCCTGAAAGAATTACTCTCACGGGTGTGTTTGGATGGAGGAGTTCATAGGGAAAGGGAGGGATAGAAAATTCTCATTTTAAGTATATATTGCCTTTGTTTGAGAACTTTTTTAAAATTGTGAAGAATGAAATGAGGGATTATCAGGTAAGCTTCCAATCATCCTGATACAAATAAGGGCGCGACATCAAGGGGTCCGTTCTAAATCCTAGTTCTTGTTACAAGAGCATTCAATGGGCTGATTTAAGAAATCTGGTCTCAGTAAAATCTATAGCCCATTAAGCATGGCTGCATGTTCAAAGAAGTAACACTTTAAAATCTAGTACATCCCGACCAAAACCCAATTTGAATAAAGTAATAAATTTTGTTGTAATTTGGTGGGCAAAAATTGGGCAACAACATATATGGTTTAACTTGAAAGGTGAAAACTGAAATATCATTCACACTTAAGAAAACATGTATAGGGTTGCAATACTTATAGAGAAACTAATAGGCCTAAAAGAATAAACCCAAATCCTAAACATAATCTAGCCAATAAAGGAAACTAATAATTACAGATATTTTCCATATTTACATTAGTTTATTTTGAGGGCTAAGATTGGGACCTATTTTGAGATAGGAATTATCATCTTTCCTTATTTTTAGGATTTTAAGTTTTAAATTCATTTGTATTGGTCTATAAAAAGGTGTTTAAGATCCCTGTTGTAAGTTGCCGAATATGTTCTTATTTTGATTATTGTAATTGAGAACCCAGGGTCTATCTATCAAATCCCTATTTTTTGTTTAGCCCTCCTTCAGTCTGTTCTGGCATCATTATCATCCCTATTTATTTTTTATCAACATCTTATAATTTATTTCTCAATTTCAGAAATAAGTCCTTTCCCCTTCCTTCTGATCTAAACTCTTCCATCCAAATATTCCCTTTGGGAATTCGCAAAAGACATTTACTCACCAAGACATTGTTTTGGCCTCCAATTTACCAAGACCCAGGTCTCCCACATCCTTTTGGTCTAAAGCATGTCTCCCAATAAACAAGATGATCTTTTCTATTCTCTTCCACCGCAGACCTGAGGAAATCTTATTATTTTTCAATCCTTTTGAGTCTTCCCTACTCTAATGAAATTTGGAAAAGAGTACGTAATAAAGAAACATATAAACAAACCGGAATTATGTAACACAATTATCTAGGGTGAAGGAAGAAGCCTTCCAATTAGTCAGGAGCCTGGAAATTTCATCAACAATAGAGTCGTAGAAGTCCCAGAAAGAAGCAGCCTGTGGATTATGGATTAACACCTAAAGTAACACCTAGCTAAAGAACAAAACAGCCAATGCTCTACATTTTTACTCAGAAGGCCACACTCAGCCTAATTGCAATTTGAGTCAAATTGCTTCTCAAACAGATGAAGGCAAAATGGAGTGCCATCTTCAAACTGCAAATGAGATGTTGTAATAGTTTAGTGATCACTGTGTTTTTGCCTTTTTGGATGTTAATTCACTCTTGTACAATATACTAGTTAGCTGAACCTTTCCGCTTTTCACTAAATATGATGGTACTTTTCCTTTTTTTTTTCTTTTGTGCATTCATTATGTTCTACTTTTTGAATTTTTTTTTGATATTGGTAGATAATTTTTAACTTGGAACCTTATTTACTTTTTTCTCTTAATAGCTTGAGTATGATATATTGGAATATGTTGTGATTGAGCGCTTGGCACTTGGTGGACGTGATAAGTTAAAGGATGATGGCCTTAATTTGTCAGACTGGCTTCAATCTCTAGCTTCATTTTGGGGCCACCTGTATGTATATTTGTTCCCTTCCCTCTTCTATTACATTTATATTTGGTTTATCTTTTTCTGCACTGATTGTCTGGTGCGTCTGGATAAGTTATAGGAATTAATTATCAGCCTTTTGGGGTTTGTCATCAGCATATGTGACTGAATCTTGTGTGATACATTTTATTCTTCTGATTAAAGTGTTAATTTTAATGGCAACATAGTTTGTTAAGCAACAAATTGTAGGTTGTCCTCGTATGCTGTTTAGGTGATATGTGTCTTTTTACAACTATTTCTCACTAGCTCTAATTTTATTGGCATTATTTTATGCTTAAGCAATCGTTCTTGATAATGACATTAATTGGTCATTTTTTGTACATTTGCGCCATCCTATAGAATATAGATATATCCGGGATGCCTTGTATCAAATTCCAGGTTGCAGATCAACCTTAGCGAATGCAGGATTACTGGACATAGCAGCATTTTGTACCCGAGTGGTAATGTCAGATCAATTCAAACCACTTGGCTTGCCAGTTGATGGGCATGCACAGACAGCTGTATGATGTGCGGTTACTGGGATTCACTGACAGATATTTTGGAATGGATACTTGTTGGTTGAAAGGGGTGGGCATTGGTGTTATCCTTTCAATGTTCAAAGTTCAAACTTCTATTAGTCTGTTGTCCTCATAATTTTGTAAGGGAGATATTAAAAGTTAAGAAGTGCCATGTAAGATATACAAGTGACTTGTCAGCTGCAATAGCACTCTACCACTTTTAATGGAGAATCATCGGATTTAAATGAAGCTTTTTCATTAAGTTCGATCTTGATCTTTCTTTTGTAGCTTGGAAAAGTCAGTACTGTTACCAGATACAATTAGTTAAGGGAGATGAAAGCATGAGTACTTACTAAATGCAATGATATCAGTTGGAAGGATGACCTAAGTTGTATACATGATATCTGTGATTCTATATGTCCTTTGGTCATTTCTAATATCAGTAATGAAATGACAGTTTAATAGGCATTTATGGGGTACTTGTTCAGGAGGGAGACAGATCCGTATTGAGGTGCATTTGCCATTGTCTATGCTTAATTCGTGATGATTTTCAAAAAAAAATAAAAATTAGGGGAACAAATTCCTAAGCTGTTGGTCTTGTAGAGAGGGAGCAGCCTGAACATACTTTGGGTGGTTGCTAATGTGGTGATTAGTCATTGCTGAAATCCAACTGTTGGACATGACTGCTTAGTCCTTGGTGTTGGGCTGATAATAGGTAGGTTTGGATCCATCTGATGTGACTTCAGACGATAGTAGCATTCTTGTAAGTGACCTACTCCATTAGCTATTACTTTCGTCCTGTGATCCTAATGGAGACTGCAAGATACCAAAGAAATCATTAACTTTTTTTGAAGCTGTTTACTATGTCTATCTACAAATGGACCTAATGGTGGAGTAGTACCATTAGATAGTATGTCCTATCTTCAGATAAGAGGATACAGCCTTTCATTTGACCTTGTCATCAGTAGTTTACTTGATTGATCGACAATAGTTCAGTACAACAAGATGATTCATGATTGTGTTGTCTGTATAATGCTGAGTTGCCCATCTTCTGATGAATGGATAGCGTAACAAGTTTTTGTAATATCTGGTCTTACTGAGGTATATACTTCAAAAATGAAGAATGATATGCTTGTGGCTGCATTAATTTAGCGAGCATACCTGTTAAACCCTGAACAACTTTTGGGGCCAATATTCCGCTAGGAATTTGTTTTTGTCTTGGAGGGATGGGGATTGAAATACTTGGAGCAGTTTGGTTTGGTTTTCTTCTCTCTCTTTACTGCATTTGCTTTCTTTTGATGTATGTAATATTGAGTGTGAAATAATATAAAATGAAATTGGAGTGTGGGGATATTCTGTAGTAGCTTTCTGAATTCCTGTTTTGTTAATTGAACTCTTTTTTTTTGGTAAGGTTGTTAATTGAACCTTATTTGTTCGTTGTCTATTGTGCAGAACTCATGTGATACTGAAAATAGATGATTTGAAAATTGTTTTCTCCTTGATAAAGTGGTGGAATTAATGTTGGATAAATTAGGAAATAAATTATACAGTTTAAGATTGTAATTTTGTCACGCAAATTGGAGGAAAGGTGGGGTCAATCTTTAATGATTCAGCTAAATTTTTTTGTAAGAGATGAAAGTAAAGAAAAGAGAAATATTTAATTAGAAATATTGTATGCTTAATTGAAAGAGATCAGAAATAAATGACCAACAAATATAAAATATAAATTTATTCAAGTAGTAGTCAATTCAATAAAGAAATTATTGCGGAAATAAGGACTAATGGATCAGTAAAATAAATTTTGATAAATAGCAAGAAAACTAGGGAAGAAACAAAAATTGGTTTGTAAATCAAAATACTGAATTGAACATCAGGAAGTGTAGGATCATGTATGCAAAATGTCTCGGGTAATGTGACATAGATTACATTGTCGAGCAAATTCATCATCTATGGTGGAGAACAGTACTCTATTTTCTTTCTGCACTGTGATTCAGCGAATTCTTCATATAATTTGGTAGAGTTCTTTGGATGTGTGGCAATTATTATATACTATGTTGAGTGGGTTTTCACTTAACATGGTTCTAGTTAATGAAACCAAGCATTCAGTTTTTTGTCGGTCTGCTGTATGATTCATGATGTTTAAATTGTTTATGTTAATGTTGGTGTTAACTTGTTATTGATAGTTTAACTTTATTCCTCCTGTTTTTTCATTGCCAGTTATGTTCAGAATTAAGTAGGATCTATGTGATTATTACTTCATGAGACACAATGTTCTTCGAATATTTTAATAAACTGAAGTTATTTGTTTGTTATAGGTGTAAGAAATACCCATCAATGGAATTGCGGGGTCTTTTCCAATATCTTGTGAACCAGTTAAAAAAGGGGCAAGGAATTGAACTTGTTCTACTGCAGGTTTTTCTTCTTTGTTGGTTTTTGATAAGGAATAATGTTGTGTAATAATGTTCATGAAAAATCCAAATGCTGGCCATAAATAAATATTTTTGCTGGTTTTTTCAGGAGCTTATTCAACAAATGGCAAATGTGCAATACACAGAGAACTTGACTGAGGAACAGCTGGATGCTATGGCAGGGAGTGAGACTCTCAGATATCAAGCAACTTCTTTTGGAGTAACTCGAAATAATAAGGTACAAAAAAGTACATCTTAGGTTTTAGAAAGCAAGAGATTGGTGAAATTTCTGTTTTGACAGATTGAAATTCTACTGTGTTAGAGACAGTTTTTTAGGTGTGGCAATTCTCTGTTTTAATATACAATTGCCCAGTTGTTTTGGTTTGTACTGATTGGACTGGTTAATGAACACGCATTATATTGCATTTGGTTTTGAACATTTTGTGAGACATTGATGGATGAGCCCTTTTTGGTTTATCGCATATTGCAACATTGCATATTTGATTGAGCTTAAAGATTAACTCCCTAAAAAGTGGACAAGTGTGAATAAATAAAATGCCTATTTGTTTGATGATATATTTTCATTAGTTTGCTGAAAAGAAAGAAGTTACTCTTGTTTGCATATTGTGTTTGGTGTTGTTTTATATATTCTCAAGTTTTATTGGATCTAATAAATCATATATCTTGCACTATGGGCTTATAAAGTCTTATGGATGAGATTTTAATTATTATTGCGGAATTATGCCTAGTACAAGGTTTCAATATGTGCCTTGGCGGTTGACATGCCAAGTTACTTGAGATATCTAATTTTCATTGCAGGCGTTGATAAAGTCAAGTAGCAGACTTAAAGATGCATTACTTCCAAAAGATGAACCGAAGTTGGCGATCCCCCTCTTACTGCTTATTGCTCAACATCGTTCTTCGTAAGCAGCTCATTCACTTACAAATGCTAGATCTAATGCTCAAGGTTCTGTTCTCAAGATTTAATGTTTTTGCAGGGTTGTCATCCATGCAGATGCACCCTACATTAAGATGGTTAGTGAGCAGTTTGATAGATGCCATGGAACTCTTCTTCAATATGTGGAATTTCTTTGCAGTGCAGTTACACCAGCGTCAAATTATGCTATTCTTATTCCCTCACTCAATGACCTGGTCCACCTTTACCACCTGGACCCTGAGGTTTGTGTTCCCCTTCTATCTCTATTTTTCTTATATATATCTTACATGCTCTAACGATAATGATTGCATGGTTTTATCAGTATTTTTGTTCTAGCTTCCCTTCACTTGCTGCATTTATGGTACATTGTTCCTTGCTTGCACCTGCATTTAATGCTCTCTTTTTTTCCTGGACATAGGTTGCTTTCTTGATATATCGCCCTGTGATGAGGCTTTTCAAGTCTCAGAGGAGTCCTGAGGTTTTCTGGCCCTTGGATGATAAAAATGATGCAAGTGATGCATCTACTAGCTTTGAGTCTGACCCTGCAGATCATTCTTGTAGTATGGTTCTAGATCTTGGCTCTGCTCAAAATCCTGTAAGGTAATAATCCTAACCTTTTTCCCCCTATTTCCTTAAAAATTTCCTTCTATGCTTTAACACTAAACTGTGTTAGGTGTTGAACTCTCCAAGATGTCGAAACGTTTTCGATACCATTCCAGCTGATAAACTTAAGTCTAGAATGTAAATTATGATCTGTATCAGATATAATATATGCAAAGTTTATTTCTGCAATTTTGTGGATTAATATGAATACTTTATTACTGTATGCAGTTGGTCATATCTTCTTGATACTGTTAAAACCATGTTGCCTTCAAAAGCATGGAATAGCCTATCTCCTGATCTTTATGCAACATTTTGGGGTCTCACATTATATGATCTGTATGTTCCGAAAAATCGTTACGAGTCAGAAATAGCCAAGTTGCATGCTAACCTTAAATCTTTGGAGGAGCTTTCTGACAATTCAAGCTCAGCAATCACCAAGAGGAAGAAAGAAAAGGAAAGAATTCAAGAATCTCTTGATCGTCTGATTAGTGAACTCCATAAACATGAAGAGAATGTGGCATCCATCCGTAGACGGCTTTCTCGTGAAAAAGACAGATGGTTAAGTTCCTGTCCCGATACTTTGAAGATCAACATGGAGTTTCTTCAGCGTTGTATATTTCCTCGCTGTACTTTCAGTATGCCAGATGCTGTTTATTGCGCTATGTTTGTGCACACACTTCATTCCCTTGGAACCCCCTTTTTTAACACGGTCAATCACATAGATGTTCTGATATGTAAGACCCTACAACCAATGATATGCTGCTGCACTGAATATGAGGCAGGCAGGCTTGGCAGGTTTCTGTATGAGACTTTGAAGATTGCTTACTATTGGAAGGTAATTGATTAGTACTTTTTTTTTTTACTTTCTATAATTTTTATTTTGATATTGTTATATGCTTGTTAGAGGTTGTTCAATCTTTTTATGTTTACTTTCATTTTATTTTATTTTTTGTTTCTTATTCATTTATCCTTTCAGAGTGGTGAATCTATATACGAACGTGAGTGTGGAAACATGCCCGGCTTTGCTGTTTATTATAGATATCCAAACAGCCAGCGAGTTACATATGGGCAGTTCATTAAGGCAAGTTCAATTGTACGCTAGTTTAAAACTGCTCTGAAATTTTCTCCTTGTCTATGTTGTGTAGATCCAATGGCTACTGTTAGCTTTCTCAATTTTTTTGAAAGCTATACCTTGTTTCTTTCTGACTTACGGTTAGTCTACAGAAGATAAATTAATGCTGTAAGGACCCATTTTGTTTTTTCTTTTTGGCTGATAGGTTCACTGGAAGTGGAGTCAAAGAATCACTCGGTTACTAATTCAGTGTCTGGAATCCAGCGAGTACATGGAAATTAGAAATGCTCTTATAATGTTGACAAAAATTTCTAGTGTTTTCCCTGTTACTCGGAAGAGTGGGATAAACCTTGAAAAGCGGGTAGGTTTATTAAACTTTGCTTGTGCTTTTATGTTAAATTACTAATGCATTTTTTCAATTATTTTATCTTCCATGCAGGTAGCTAAGATTAAAAGTGATGAAAGAGAGGATCTTAAGGTGTTGGCAACTGGTGTTGCAGCAGCATTGGCTGCTAGGAAGGTATGACGTTATGTTAATTACAAGCTTAGTCATAGTTTGTTTTAACACATTAAAACTCCTTCATTATGCAGACTTCTTGGGTTACCGATGAAGAATTTGGTATGGGTTATCTTGAGTTGAAGCCTGCACCATCTATGACTAAATCTTCAGCTGGAAATTCAGCAGCTGTGCAAAGTGGGATAAGTCTTAATGTTTCTCAAACTGAATCTGCCAGCGGAAAACATTTGGACTCCGGAAACGCAGTCAAAGACCAGATAATAAGAACAAAAACTACAGACGTGAAGTCAGAAAGAACCGAAAGCATTACATCCACAAAATCTGATTCTGGCCTTGTGAAAATCAAGGGTAGTTCGATGGTAAATGGATTGGATGCTCAATCTTCCTTACCCTCATCTGCTGTACAATCTGGAACATCAAAATCTATGGAAAACCCTAAGCAAGTGGAAGAATCCATAAACAAAGCATCGGATGAACACATGACAAGAACTGCTGAGGTAGAATTCATGATCTTAGTTATGCTGTGCGGTTAGCATTTTTCATTTGTATGATTGTCTTGTATATAGTCCTATTTGCATCATTTGTTGCATTGTTGATTACCTAATGATTGCCTCCGCTTGCTGCTTGAGTTTAGGGAATGGAAATTTGGAGAATTAATGTGATCTGAAGGAAGAAGTTCTTCTACTACGAACTGTGATTAATGTGAGATGAGTTAAAGAACTTTTTTTTCTAATTCAAAATTCATACTAATCATTAAAATTACTAAGAATAAATTTTAATCATAGAGATTGATTACACAAAAAAAGTAGTAAATAATTATTTTGTGTTGTGCTAAATATGCAGTATATAAGAATAGTACCTTGAAGAGGTTAGTGTTAAACGTATTAATGGGTTGATGGGTTCTAGGGAAAAATAAAGCAAGAGGCTATGAGGATTCTCAACATCAAGAATTTTCAATACTATAAAAAAAGGGGTAAATCCTAGTGCTCAAGGCTCCTTGATTTGCGAGGGTAGGGAAGGTGGTTGATTGTAAATGACATATGATAAATTGAAGGAAAAGTAACTCATCAAGAAAACATGGACATTAGATAAGACCCCATAACACCTAATGATATAACCCAAGTTTGTATTCTCGAAAGGAAGTATTATATAAAAATCTCAAGATCTAAGGCAGCTCATCCATGGCTTGAGGCTGCATAAATTAATAAATAATATTGAATTACTAAAATATTTCTGCGACTGAAGATAAACTGTTAATATTGTAAGTTAATAAAATAGTCCTTTGCTAAACCTAATTGTTTTAAACAATTATAGTCTGTTAAATTATATGGAGTAATACAAAATACCAATTTCAAAAGTAAACTAAAATATCAAAAATTTTGTAAATATGTTTGTAATTCTTGTTTCGTTCATCCTGGTTGAAACCTTCTAGACAAGTAGTCATTTGTTACTTCTAGTGCGTCTGTCTTAAGGTTGCAATGGAATGCTGATTCTTCCCTGCCAAAATTTTCCTTTTTTCTCTACTATTCTTAAATGTTGCTATTGCTTTTGTCCACTATAATTTGGTTATCCTGTTTTCAGGCAAGAACTTCAGCAAAACGTTCAGTGGCTGCTGGCTCACTTTCAAAACCCTCAAAACAAGATCCTGCAAAAGAGGATAATAGGTCTGGAAAAGTTGTTGCTAGAAGTTCTGGTTCCTCGAGCAGTGACAAGGATCTACAAACTCATGCATCAGAGGGAAGACACACTGGAATTACCAATACATCTTCAGTTAGTGGTAATGGTAACACCGTTTCAGGCTCTGCAAAAGGTTCAGCTCCATCAGCAAAGATTTCATTGGATGGTCCTGGTAATGAATCAAAGGCAGAGGTTGGAACTGCCAAGTCTTCTGATATTAGGGCTTCTATGGGGAAGGATGATGGAAATGATGTTTCGGACTTCACAAGAGGATCCTCTTCTCGTGTAGTTCATTCCCCCAGGCATGAAAACACAGTTGTTACTTCAAAATCTAGTGATAAAGTTCAGAAACGAGCTGGTTCTGCTGAAGAACCAGACAGACTAGTTAAACGGCGGAAGGGGGATATAGAGCTAAGAGATTTAGAGGGTGATGTTCGATTCTCTGAAAGGGAGAAGCTGGTGGATCCTCGATTGGCTGATGACAAATCAGGACCAGATGAATTTGGTCTGTACAGGGCAGGTGATAAGCCACTGGAAAGGCCAAAAGACAAAGGGAACGAAAGATATGAAAGGGAACACAGGGAAAGATTGGACCGTCTGGATAAGTCTCGTGGTGATGACTTTGTTGCAGAAAAACCTAGGGCTAGGTCAATAGAAAGATATGGAAGAGAACGATCTGTTGAAAAAATGCAAGAGAGGGGTAGTGAGAGGAATTTAAGTAGACTCCCTGAGAAGGCTAAGGATGAAAGAAGTAAGGATGATAGAAGTAAGTTAAGATACAATGATGCATCAGAAAAATCTCATGCTGATGATCGCTTCCATGGGCAAAATTTGCCTCCTCCACCCCCTTTACCTCCTAATATGGTTCCTCAATCTGTTGGTGCTGGTAGGCGTGATGAAGATGCTGATAGGAGGTATGGAGCTACAAGGCATTCTCAAAGACTTTCTCCAAGGCATGAAGAAAAAGAACGGAGACGGTCTGAAGAAACTGTGGTTCCTCAGGATGATGCAAAACGCAGAAAAGAAGATGATTTTCGAGATCGAAAACGTGAGGAAATGAAGGTATGAATCAATATCATGTATTCAGTTCTCTCACTCTACATGATCTGCTACTAAGGATATTTACTTTGTGTTGAAAGGACTTAAACAGAGTATTATACATGTTACATAGCCCTATGGATTTGTGTCAACATTCTAATAGTGGATAAGTACTTAAAATTAATGTCATAGGTCATACATAGTTTTTTTTATTTGGTTGAATGTGTCCATGAACTAGTTTTTTTGTTCGTTTTAGTGGTCAAAAGAACAGAATGCAGTTTGATTATCTTCATATGCTACTTGTTAAGCATGGGTTACTATGGAAAACTATGTGATAAGTGTCTTCAATGATCAATTTGATACCAAGTGACAGGCTGACAGGAATTTTTAGCAAGCATCGGTTTCTATAAAGAACTACTTGTTCTCTCAGTTGATTGGCAATAAAACTATCACTTCAAGTTGAAAATGCAACAAATGTGAAGGAAAAAAAAAATAACAGCTTAAAATATTAGAATGTGGGAGATTATCAGGGTGTTACAGTTAGAGTTTGAGTATATGGTTATTTATCGCAAGAGTATAGCTAATATTTCTTCCCATGGTTTTATTTTCTCTCTGATTTATTCTTTTTCGGTTTTATATACTTGCAATGGCTTAAAGAATTGGGGTTTTGGTTTTTCCGTTGCCCCATATATTTAGTTGTTTTACATAGTTGTGCTTCTCATCCTATATTATCCTCTTCTGGTGTTTGATTAGAACAGACAGATGATCCTGCTGTTGTTATTCTTCTAATGTCGCGCTGTCTTTTTTTTCTTATATGCAGGTGGAAGAGAGGGAAAGGGAGAGGGAAAGAGAGAAAGCAAGCATTCTAAAGGAAGACTTGGAATTAAATGCTGTATCCAAGAGACGTAAACTTAAGAGGGAGCATCTACCAACTGGTGAACCTGGGGAGTACTCACCAGTGGCCCCTCCACCTCCTCCCCCTGTTATTGGTATGTCACCAGCGTATGATGGAAGAGACAGGGGAGACAGAAAGGGACCTATGATCCAGCATGCAGGTTACATAGATGAACCAAGTCTCAGGATTCATGGTAAAGAGGTTGCCAGCAAACTGAACCGTCGTGATTCGGATCCGTATCCTCAATGCTTAAACTGATATGCATGCTTAGTTAATTCAAGAGTACATATCTTTCACTGGATCTTTTGCTGGGGTGTCACTAGACTGTTTACATGTGTACCTCATCTGCATACATTTATTCCTTGCCTGTTTCGTACATTCATGGAAGGAGGCTGCATATGGAGTCATTGGTAGATATGTTGCTTAAAGATGCATAGTATGGTATGATATATGTGCCTGTTTTGCTTTCTTGCTGTTCATTCATTCACTTTTTTCATGACCAAAAGGAGAGTTAATATAAAATCATAGAACAACTGTGTTACTCCGGTCAAAATAATTGTTTTGGTTGAATGTAAGGTTTCCATTAATAATGGTACACTGCTGTGCCCTTAATTGAGTATTAGCTTGTATGACCGTGAATGGGATGATGAGAAGAGACAAAGAGCTGATCAAAAGCGAAGACATAGGAAGTAACAAATCAGGGGGGATTTCGCAAGCAAACTTATTGGAAGATTGATCATTTCTTGCTGGTGCTATGATGCTAACTTTGTGCATGAGTTGAGGTGCTGGTTCACATCATTTTTAACTGCTACCCCCTCATTTTCTTGTAACTTGTACCAAATTTTCAGCTGTTCAAATTATTTGGTCTTCTTTCTTATGTCAATGCGAAGAAATTATGAATTGACTTATACACTTGTATATAGTGTTGTATATTCTAGGTAGCCAATGATATATGTATTCTGTGAAACTGTGATTAATTCGTCTGAACCTTCATTTACATGAGTAATCCAACCTAAGATAAATGAATTTTTGTAGACTGTGTAACTGTTTTACTGATCTTAATTGAAGAGGGTTGGTGCACATGTGATTTCTTCTTAGACATTAGGTATGAATCCTGTGCTTTCTCAATTGCTGTGCCAAGTTTATTATGCATTTCGGCTCCTGAATGTCTGGCGGAATCGTTTAACTGTTATATCTCTGAAATAATTAAATGAAAAATAGCAACTGATTTTAAAATAGATGACTAAACACAATATTGAGAAGAACAGCTTTATAAAATTTAAAAATTCTAATTAGCAAATATGAGTAGTTCCAATAACTCCAAAATTGCACTTTTGCAAGCTGAAATTCGAGCGCTATTCAAGAACAATATTGTTAAGTGTTAACTATAATATTTATATTATATTATTTATAAAATTTATTAATAATAAAATAAAAGTTATGCTGTCTAATATATAGAAAAGTGAAAAGATGGTTTATCAATTTCGGAAAACTTTGCCTCCCATAAACCCTGAGCTCAACTTATCAGTTCATTTGTTAAACGTAAGATCTGTAGTATAGTAGTAGTAATTGAGAAGGAGCTAAAGCGTTGTGCAAGTGACTGTTTAACATATCTTATTTTTAGTTTTTCTTTTTCTTTTTAAAGTAAAAGTTTACTCAAATATGTTTTTATAAAATTTCTTATTATAAAAAGATTTTTTTATATAATGAAGAAAAAAAACTAAAAAGTTAAAAGCAGGAGGAGTTTTTGTTTTAAGATATATGCCAGTTTTTTTGACTCATTATTTATTTTACCGTTCATAATTTATTTTATAATTTTATTTTTATTCTAAACTTTTATTCATAAGTTTTATATTTTATTCTAATAATTTATTCTAATAACAAATAATGTTATCTTTCTACTTTCAAAATCATTAAAACAACCTTACGTAACCACTAAATAGCTTTTAACTTTATTTTTTTATTTTTTTATTTTTTAACTTTAACTTAAAAATAGTTTTTAGCTTAAAAAAAAATGTGTCAAACATTCTTAAGTATCCTTGTTTTGGTTATGTAAATCAAGCTTCTGAATTTTAACCTCTTAACTTGAATAATCTGTTAACAAATTCAATTAAAAATATATGCTCTCATGTATTATTTGCGTAATTATACATCTTTTTAATATACAACTTTATCTAATAAGATCCTCGACAAATGTAATCGTTCGCAAGTAAATTAAAACTATAATAATTATTTTCGTTGAAATTTCCACTCACACATGCTCTTTTTATCATTTGTATAGATGCATTATAAATGGAAAAATTGATTTAATCAAGTACTTTGCTGCGTGAAATTCAAAAATTCAAAGACTATACGTAATAGTACTATGTAACATAATCTTTTTCCTTTTTAGCCAAGAGCTTATTTTCTGTTTAATTCAATAATTAAATAATTAAAAAATAACATAATCTTCTTGGAAAACAACAAAAACAATTGGTGTCTATGGAATCTCCCATGGTCATTGGACACCTAATTTGGGTGAGAGAAAGGGTTATAAGAAGGAGTAGGATGGTACATTACGATTCTCCATTTGTCATCTGCATGTTCATTCCCTTCCTTCCAATCCTCAAAGCTATGTTCATTATCCCATCCCTTAGAGCTGAAGAAGCTGCTAAAGTCACCCTCATAATAAGCAGGAGATAAACTAACAGAATATTCCAACAATGTCTCCCAATTAACATCATTATCATCTTCTAGTTCAATCAAAGGCTTCTCCACCCCAACTCCAACTACTTTTGGATAAGCGTGATGTTGATGTTCATGTTGATGTAGTTCAATCAAAGGCTTTTCCTCTTCATCCTCAAACTCAAACTCTTGACCTTTGATGTGGACAAGGTCTCTTCTCATCACTAACTTCCTTTCTTTTTCTTTTTTTTCTTCTTCGGTGAAAGATTCCTCAGATGATGATGATGAAGAGCTTGTTGGCGATGATGAAGACTCAGTCAACTGCCACATGCCACTGAGAAAACTTTCAAGAGCTTTGATTTGAATAAGTGGGATTGGTTCTACCAAAGGGTATTCATAGAAACCACACAACCCTTTTGCCTTGCACCATTCATAGAACTCATAGAGTTGATTTGTTTGCATAGCTGCTTTCTTATATATATTAAAAGCAGCCATGCAGTTCCTATAAGGCATCTGAAGAAGATTATCCAAAACCACTACTATTTCTTTTCTGAATTTCTTGTAACAAATGAAGCTGTCTCGAAGTATGAGTTTCATTGCTGATTGAACAATGAAACTTCGAGCTGCTACTCCCACTGGGTAACAATCCATCACCCTATCTATAAGGCTCTGAAGTTGTGGTAACATTTCAAGTATTTCACACATTTCTTTCATTTTCTCTTGAAAAGTTTCATGCATAGCTTCTTCTTCTTCTTTTTCCTCTGCTTCTTCCTTTTCCAAGACAACACAATTAAGTGCTTCATCGAGGACGTGTGCATAGGATGTGATGAACTTTGTGTAGGAAATTGAAGACGAAGAAGAATAATCACTGAAATGGCAAGGGTAAAGAGAAATCAAGCCATTGGAACGAGTCCATACAAGTTCAGTCCAAAGGGTACTGTTTCCCGGAACAGAACGAAGCAAACGGTGAAGAAGAATGAGACACTTGAGTGCAACACGCCAGTTACGTGTTGTGCCAAATCTACGAGTGAAGGTGATGGCAAAAGAGTGACACGAAGAAGGAGACATGGAAAAAAGTTTCAAGAGTTGTTGTATGTATTTTTCATGCAGAGGTAAATCATCTGGTGAAGTTGCCTTTATGATGATAACATTGATATCAGAAAATCCACTTGCTGAAGCAATTTTAGCAAAGTTAACATAGCTATGCTCTTTGAGAGCAGTGCAAACTTGCCGGAACCTTCTATGCATATTTCTTTCACATACACAAATGCTTATTATTGTGACAAGTGGGGTTGTGTTGTGGGGTGGGAGAAGAAAATATTATTGATGAAAGATGATTTGGTGTGTGTTGGTTGTTTGTGTCTTCTTAAAAATGGAGTTTCAAAAAATAGGCAAATTAAATGGTTTGTTTTGTTGTCTCTCTTAGTCTTTGGTACTGTCGCGGCTACAACTACGAGAGAAGAAGTTGTATTGTAATGTAAAAATATATGGAGATGAACTCTACAAGGAAAATGAAAAATGAAAAACTATTGGTTCTTGATTCTTGAAAGAGACACTCAGCCTGCAAAAACTGTAGCCTTAAGGTTATTAAGTGTGAATAAGAACCCACATTGAAAAATCTGTAGAGAAAAAACAAATAAAAATTAGATTATAGAAGAAGACAAAAAATATTGGTCTCACAGCTAGCATTGTGCTACTGCTGCATAATGCAACTAAGGAAAATTCGCCAGCTGTATGATTCATCATTGACCAGATGTCGATCCCTTGTAAAAATAGAAAAAAAAGAAGAGAGAATATGACGGCAATGGAATTTATGGAGAGAACATAAGTTCCTGTTTGAAAGAATGTAAGGATCATGATAACTATTAACTGTAGGCTTTTTGATCACTATAGCCTTTTTTTAATAATTAATTACTAAATTGACCCTGTTTATAAACTATTTCAAAAATTTAACCTCTTCAGAAAACATAACACCAATCTGCCCCTGTTTGACCGTTGACCATGAAGCCTACCCGGGTACACCCCTCCCTACCCGGATATATTCTGAAGTTTTTTACATACCCGGGTACACCCCTCCCTACCCGGGTATATTTCTTGAATCTAGAAAAAGTTTAAATTATTTACCCGGGTAGGGAGTGGTGTACCCGGGTAAATAATTCAAAGTGTTGTAACTGGCCATTCCTTTGGGATTCTTCGTAGCCAAGTCTCGTGTTGTTGCCATCTCCAACAGGGACGATCAAGGGTCCTACATTACTGACAAAATTTTAACTGTTCTCTACTCTATATGCTTGTCATGCATATAGATAATGAGTGGTCCTATATGCTCTGGATTTTCTAGCTTGTTCTTTTGAGTTTGAAGCCTTTCTTTTAATGGTTTATGTAAACGAGGGATAGAAAAACAGAGGGCTTAAGTAGGAGACAAGAAAGAGGGCATGGTAGCCACCCACAAATATCATCATACTTCCACAAAAAGCTTGGTCTCTGATCTCTTCAACAGACCTCGCAAAGCTCTCTCTCCTCACCTCAGAGTTGATATAGGCATATAGCAATTGTGTATTCCATCAAAAATTCACTTCTCAGTTTTCAGATCTCGACCACAACTCAGTTTGCACATATCTCAATAGCAAGGAATGCAAGCCCAAATTATTATGTCAAATTGGCACTGATTGCAAGTGGTTCTTATTCTTCCATTATCCCCTAATTCAAATTAAGAATCCACACTTTTCAAGATTACAAGCAAGAATGAATTATTTACCCGGGTACACCACTCCCTACCCGGGTAAATAATTCAAACTTTTTCTAGATTCAAAAAATATACCCGGGTAGGGAGGAGTGTACCCGGGTATGTAAAAAACTTCAGAATATACCCGGGTAGGGAGGGGTGTACCCGGGTAGGCTTCATGGTCAACGGTCAAACAGGGGCAGATTAGTGTTATGTTTTCTGAAGAGGTTAAATTTTTGAAATAGTTTATAAACAGGATCAATTTGGTAATTAATTATTAAAAAAAGGCTATAGTGGTCAAAAAGCCATTGACTGTATATACATACACCTTTAATAAACGAAGAAACCATTCACCAAAATTAACTAAGAACTTAAGCCTTTTTAAACCTTGATTGAGACAAAAAAATTTCGACTAAAATTTTAAAAAATCTCATAGTTAAGGTGGAAATCAAATCATCTTTCTCTCTTTCTTTTTTTCTTTTTTTTTAAACCCAGGAGAGCACTGTCGTGGGCTGGCTCCTTTTTAGATCCTTGGGCACATTTCCTTGACCGAAACTATGTGATGTTTTTAAATTGTCATTTAATAATATTCTTTTAAATTATATAAGTCATGTTATTTCACTTTTACAAAGAATTATGATTTATATCTTTATTTTTTTATCCACTCTTTTTTTTATAATTTATTTATTTCTCTCATTTAAAATGATATAATTTTACATTCTTTTAAATGACACACACTTCAAAAAAGAGAATTCCTTTTCTGAAATGTACATTTTAAATTGAAAAAGTAAAGAAAGAAATGGGTTACTTGAATCCCCGCAAGTGTGACAGGCGAAAATACTACTGTGCCTTATTCATTAACATGATTCCTTCAACTAACCAAAACATGCAACTATATTTATTAAAAAAAAACTTTACAAGTAAACTAAAGGAGCACAAAGAATTGAATTCTTATGTAATATGAGGAAATATTTTTTCTTAGTTTATTATTATTATATATAAATTATAAAATGATATTTATTTTATAATAATAAATAATTAACGTTAATAATTAATCATTCTCTAAAAAATATTTACACCAATTAGTTTATCTTATTATTCTCAGTACTCCATCACAAAAAATCCTGCATCAGCTTCATTTCTAAAAAAAATACAACTTGAAATAAAAGATACAAACCAAATTCTTTATTATTATTATTATTATTAAATATTCAACTGAAACAAAAGAATTATTAATTTTTTATTTATAAAAAAAAATATTTTTTTTTCATTCTTTCGTTGTCACCTATATTCCCTAATATATCACCTACATACACGGACAATAGTGTCTATGTGGCTATGCTCTAAATTTCTTCAGAGTTTAATTAAAACAAAATGTAATTTTCCATCCACTCTGAAAGACTGTAACTGATCGCCTTTTTGCAAACTGTTACGGGTAACAACACTTCCAGTTGGTTGAGACTTGCTTCCCCACAGAGGACCAAGTCGTTTGTAAACATGAGATGTGATATATGCGGGCCCTTTCTTCCATCTCTCGTAGGAATCCAACGCTTTGACTTAACAGGTCCTGCAATTAGATAAGAGACTTTGTCCATACACAAAACAAATAGGTAAGGCGAAATAGGATCACCTTGGCGGATGCCCCAGATGGAGTGAAGGGATCAGATTTGCTACTGTTCCAGAGGACATGAAAACGAGAGGAAGATATGCAAACCTTGATAACATCAGCCATCTCTGAAGGAATGCTAGCTTCTAGAAGCACGTTGTGGATGAATCCCCAACTCACTGAGAGACTCACATAATAGAATGGGCGCATCTAGAATGGATGGATAGCATTTTCCTCTACCAAAATTTTAATTATTTTATTATTATTATTAGGGATAGGATATTGTAACAATCAAGTAGTGTTATTACCAATGTTACTACCAATCAATTTCACCGTTAGATCGATTATGTTGATTCAACGGTTATATTTATTTTCATCTTTGTATGGTTATGATTTCCCATATTCAATGTGAAAGCATTAAATATGAAAAATCATAACCATAAAAAGGTGAAAATAAATATAAAATATTAAATATGAGAAATCATAACCATACAAAGATGAAAATAAATATAATTGTTGGATCAACATAATCGATCTAACGGTGAGATTGATTGGTAGTAGCATTTGTAGTAACACTAATTGATTGTTACAATATCTTTCTCCTTATTATTATATATAAATTATAAAATGATATTTATTTTATAATAGTAAATAATTAACGTTAATAATTAATCATTCTCTAAAAAATATTTACACCAATTAGTTTATCTTATTATTCTTAGGGCCCGTTTGGATGAGCTTTTAAAAAAATGACTTTTTATGCATTGTTTTTTTTAAAAGAACTTTTTCTAAAAGACAAAGTTATTTTACATTCACATGTATGATATGAAAATCACTTATATAAAAAAAGTTATTTGGATGTTAAAATAAAAAAAGTACTTTTTATATATAAAATGGGATAGATTATTCTGCCTACTCTTATTTTGCCTACCTTTGCCTACCTCTTTCAATATCGTTTGATTACAATCTCATTCAACGGTCAATATTTGCGATATAAAATAAACTCTTTTTTTTCCTTTATTTCTATTCACTTCCTCCCACACCTTTTCTCTCTCCTCCCCTTTCTCTCTTCTTTTGCGACTAAGACTGAAAATAACAAGAAAATCTAACGAAAAACACATTCGACCATCAATTAAAAAACCTCACTTATTTTGCCTATCCCTAAACAAAATATCTTCAAAACATACGATCAGGGAGATGAAGTGGAGAATATTTTGTATGGTTATGTGGGAATTGCATATGACTTGGACAATCTAGATTTCAATAGCAAGAAATGGAGTATGGTAAAGAGTAGGAAGGAAATTGAGGACCTTGATAATGCTCACATTAGAACCGATGATAGATGATAGATACAATATGTTTGAAGAACTTCTAAGGAATTTCATGGTCCCCTCGTGCTAATAAGAATCGAGCGTGCTATTGAAATCAATAGTGATATATTGATCAATGAGTATGTGTTTTTAATAAGAAACCTCAAACTTATTATTTTCTGAATTTGAAGAGAAAATACAGAAAATAATCGAACGATTAATCTTGCATTTTTTAATCGAATGATATATTGCATTTTTTACAATGGTTCCGAGGAAGAGAGGAGACTTGTGTTGACTATTAGATCTGGATGAAATAGAATTATATGGATTATTTTTATTTATTCTTTCTCCGGTCACCTTTAATTTTGAAGATATTTTGTTTAGGGATAGGCAAAATAAGTCAGGTTTTTTAATTGATGGTCGTAATTGTTTTTCTTTCGATTTTCTCGTTATTTTCAGTCTTGATCGCAGAGGAAGAGAGAAAGGGTGTGAGAGGAAGTAAGGAGAAAGAAAGGAAAAAAAAGGTTTATTTTATATCGCAAATATTGATCGTTGGATGAGATTGTAATCCAACGATATTGAAAGGGATAGACAAAGGTAAGCAATATAAGAATAGGCAGAATAATATATCCCATACAAAATTATAGTAAAAGAGATAAATAATATGATTGTGGGATAAAGAGAGATAAAATAGGTAGGATAGGATGAGGTTAAAATTGTATTTTAAAAATGGGTTTGGTGTTTGTCATTTTAAATGACATAAGTTATATCATTTTAGGAGAGAGATAGACACAAAAAATGAAAATCGAGGGAGAGAT